TAACTGTAATGATATTTCGAGTATGATGATATTGTTACACGATCGATAAATTATATTAAATAATATGTGTCCATTTAAACACATTTGTAATCTTAGTTTATGTTATAATGTGTTGATTCTTGATAAAAATAAATTTGATCAGACATCTGGAACAATGATTTTACGTATACAATACCAATTTAATTTTATAATAGTCGTTAAACTTACCTAACGTTCTTTTTAACAGCTGCATTCTTGTCAACATTTTAATACGTCAGAAAAGAACAGTAATAAGAACACATGTTAATTGTGTATAATAAGTAAAATACCCAACACAAACTTAAAATCTGCAAACAGATCATTGTGGAAAAAAAAAACATAAAACAAAAATCAGAAGACTGCTAAATAATAGTATATTATAATTTACTTATATACAAACGCTATTATTCTCTTCAAAACCTGCTTTGCAAGCACATTTTCCACTTTTGCACTCAGCATTTGCATTACCAGGGCATGCATTGCCTATTTTGAAATTGCCTCCAATTACTGAAATTCATTGAAATTGGCATTTAACTTCTACTTGTAATCCCATGTTTTTCTACATTCCAGGTTAGTTTTTTGAACATAAATAAGCATTTAATTTATTTCTGAGTTAATTTTGTAAATGTTTCAGTTTTATTAGTGGTTTAAACAATATTTATTTATACATAATAAGGTACATAAAATAAAATTTAGGGATTGAGTAGGAAGCTTGAAAAGCTTTTTTGAAACTCTCTCCGTATAAAATAATATAGTTTCTGTTTTATGGCCAAAACTTGTCTTTGTAGGCATAAAATTTTATGTTTTAAGGCTTTTAGAATTCAGTGGAGTTCCTTTACATTACTATGTTCACATTTCTATCAGTTTGTTTGTGTGAAGCAAATTACCAATCTTTTTGACCAGATGTTTATAGTTAAAAGCAAAACAATGTTTATTTTAATCTTGGTCTTCAGTGTCCAGTGCTTATAACAATTATTCTAAAATCGCAATTATATATTTTTACATTTCACACATTATTATTTTGCCCATTCTCCCGAGAAATGCAAGACTATATGATCTTTGTCTGTTTTTATTGCCTTTTCAAACTGACCATTTCATACAATGTCATATGCTTTTTTTGTCTCTTTCTAGCTGAACTTGTTCAATTAACAGGCTGTTATTGTCCTTTTGCCGGGTCAAATTAATTCTGTTGATGTTCAGTCAAAACTATTCATCAATATAGATTACAAAAAGTATTACAGAAGTGATAACTTCTGACTCACCATCGTTTAAACCACCAACACCACCACAACAATAATCACAATCTTGATACGTATCAGAACCTCTATGTTGAAATTACGTATTTCTGGTTCAAAATAACTCATAAAAGAAAACAAAACACACTTTATGTGTTACAACTGTTTATTATAGGAAGACTTTTTAAATACATGTACTATTATAACGGATAATATTTTTTAGCAGATTATATATATTTATACCAAATTACCTTCATTAAAAAAATGGCTAAACATTTTGAAACGAAACAAAGAAACATGATGTGTTTATTTATCTGTATTTGAGATCAAATTGAATAAAATGTATTCTTAAATGTCACAAGTGTGTATTTATATATATTCTTAAATGAGCAGAAACGTTTATCCATAATCACATGGCGTTCATCGGGAATATTAAACGGTTACTTAAACATTCATGAGGTCATATACTGATGATATCTCATACTGTATATTCTCGTTGTTACTAGTCAATTAACTGTCTTGAATAAGTCCACAAGAAATGCTTCTTCAAAAACACAAGTTGATACAATTTTATTTGAGTGTGCCTTAAACAAACTTAAAATGAATGACTTTATTTAAAAAGGATACAATTAATCAAAACACTCATTAACTGTTGATAATAAATTCTTACCGGATAATACTCTATACCGACTAGTTACCTTTTCGATTTCAACATACCACTTTTAATGATATAAAAGTAAAACGATCAACCAAAATATTTTCATATAGTAAACATTTACCCTCATTTAAGAACTAAACAGTTGTACAATTTACTTCTTAATCTGAATATCTTGAAACACAGATGGACAGAAAATGAGAAACTGTTTAAAAAGAATCAAATATCAAAGAAAACAATGAATACATATAATGATTCAAAATGTGAACTATCATCTTAACAATATTGTTATAATGTGCTAAAATTATGTGTTTCTGTTTGTTGCTGTTGTTGTTAATCTCGTTAAAGTTGTTTATGATTTTAAAAGGAAAACCCCACGGTAACACTAAAGGTCGTATATTTTAACATACAAATTGTGTATGCGCTACGTCACAGTGACAGTGGTACAATCAATTGTTACCATGCAAATCACAGCAAATATGAGATATCCTTGTGCAAATAAAGTTTTACCGTTTTAGTTTCACGGTGCATTAGCTCTGTCGTTAACAAGAAAGTAATTATCACATAAAAAATGAATTTGTATGAAAACATCCGTAATATAATGCAGAAATTTTCCGTTAAATTCGGACTGCTACCTAAAGTGTTTGTTGTTTTTCTATTGATGTACGGATGACTCAAAGGAAATAAAAATTGTACAGCCGATTTTCCCACAATAAGGTTGCGAATTTTAGGCTTAAAATACCATTTTGGTTGTCTAGGCACCAAACTAAAGGCATGAGTCGATATGAAACACATTTAAGTAATGTTGCTATTTCTTTTCTTATGATATTTATTTAATGCAGCTTTAATCTTTGAAATTCCTCATTTGAAAATAAAAAACGCATTTTAAAGCCTTTCTGTTGTGTGTTGTAAGGATCGTCATTACCAATAAATAAATTACATAGACAATATATATGGGTAAAATAGAGAGAAATAGAATCCCTAAAGAAAGTCCAGAACACCGAAATCAAAAATATATTGCAGACTCGGTTAGATTGAGGCTATTCATGGACAGCACTGCGAACGACTGTCCACCACGAGTTACTGAGTCGGGAGAACGAGCTACTTAAGTTGTGCGCACGAGATAATGTGTCATGGGCACGAGTTACTTAGTCGTGGGCACGAGTTACTTACGCACAAGATTAATTAAGTTTTGCACACGGGATACTATGTCTTGCCACGAGTTACTTAGTCGTACGCACGAGATACTTTTTCTTGGCAACGAGTTACTGAGTCGCGGGAACAAGATAATTAAGTGGTGCACACGAGATACTTTGTCTTGGTCACGAGTTACTGAGTCGTTGGAACGAGATAATTAAGTAATGCGCACGAGATAATTAACCAATTAGATTACACTATATATATATGAATTTTCTAAGTTAACTTGAAATGTGCCATAGGACAATGCTGCCCCTACTTCATCTGCATGTTATTGTGCCATATATTAAAGTTATTGTTTGGACAATAACTTAGTATTAAGTATCATTTTGATCTTGATTTGTGACCCAATGCCCTCAAAATTATTAGTTATCATCTACTTATCAGGTGCAATGTACTTACTAGGTTATATAAATTATGGCTTATTTCTTCTCAAATTATTCTTTGTTTTTGTTTTTGGGTTTTGCGTCACATCAACACAGTATAGGTCATATAGCGACGTTCCAGCTTTACTGGTGGAGGAAGACCTCAGGTGCCCTTCCGTGCAATAATTCAGGCACGAACGGACACCTGAGTCGAACCATCGACGTTCCGTAAGCTAGCTGGATAGCTTCCTCACATGAAAGATTCCAAAGTCCCTGTCCGGATTCGAACCCACAGCGGTGAAGGGCAAGTGATTTGAAGTCAACGACTTTAACCACTCGGCCACGGATGCCCCTCTCAAGTTATTCATCAGACAATGATTTGTTATAAAGTGTCTCGGCTACATTGAATTTTGACCTATGACCTATGACCACAAACATTAATGTAGGCCATCTACTGACCATGGGCAATGTCCCTACCAAATAAAAAAACAGGGCTAATTCCTTTGTATGACCCATGTTAACAGGCCGTTACTACTTACAATCTGATCAACCCTATCAGAAAGTGGTCCCAACAAATAGCCATAACTTAGTCAAAATTAAAGTCTGATCTATGGGCCTTGGATAGTGATCTCCTATTATGATACTGAAGACACGCATTAAGCTTAAAGTATCTCGTACGTACCATTTAATTATCTCGTACGCACGACTTAGTAACTAGTGGCCACGACATAGTATCTTGTGCACACCACATAATACTCTCGTTACCACGACTTAGTAACTAGTGGCCACGACATAGTATCTCGTGCACACCACATAATACTCTCGTTACCACGACTTAGTAACTAGTGGCCACGACATAATATCTCGTGCGCATCACTTGGTTTTCTCATACGCACGACTTAGTAAATCGTAGCCAATGCATAGTATCTCGTGGGCACTACTTAATTATCTCGTTCCCACGACTAAGCAGCTTGTGGCCGCGACAAAGTATATCGTGCGCAACACTTAGTAACTCGTGGTCGCGACATAGTATCTCGTGTGCACCACTATTTATCTCGATCCTACGACTTACATTTTATCTCATGTGTACCACTTAGTTAATTTGTGCGCACAACTTTCCAAGATTTGACTTCCGACAGGTGGTCAAAATAAAAGAAAGAAACATATTAAAGAAAATGAAATTTTAACGCTTCATGCGGAGACTGAGGGTATTGTGCTGCTTTAAGTTGGCATGGACAGAGCCACCCTTGGTAACTCGTAGCCAAGATATAGTTACTCGTGCGCACAACTTAAATATCTCGTGCGCAATACTAAGTAACCCGTGGCCACGAGATAGATAAAAACACACAAGCAAACACAAAAGTGTTACGGACAGACAGACGAACTGACGGACTGACGTACAGACGCAGGCCATACCTGAATGCAATTAAAGGTTTTATGATCTACTTAACAATAACTAATATGATATAGTTAGTATTTAATCCAGAAAAGAAGGGTGACATAGATACATATATAACATTCTACAATAGCATTATGTACAAAATTGAATAAGATCTTTACAGTATTTTGTATTACTATATTTTCTACCTTTAGAACATGTTATTATGAAAATATAAATTATTATTTAGTGCATCGTCTTTTAATAATGCGCGGTTTGTCTGTCCTTATTATTTGTTTATCTTGTTTAATAAGTATGTTAGAATAAAAACAACATTTTACTGAAATACTTCATCAATTGCTGCCCGGATAAATTGGTTAAGGTAAGAAAATTAAGCATTTATAACAATGCTTTCTTTGTATCAGGCCTTCTCATGCCATGCTGCACCTTTTCCATACACTTATTAAAGTTTGATTTAAAGAAATAGAAGCTTTAATAACTTAATTTTCAAATTTAAACACACAATGCTTGACAGTTAAAAATGTCCATCCTACTTCCGACGTATTTTCATTTCAGTAAATTTCATAAAGACACATTTATGTCTCCAATCTTTCCACGTCATTCCGTGATTACAATCGCCATCCCCATACGGTCCGTTTAAATTCGATGACTGACAGCTACGATACCACCAACCTCCTTCAAAAATTTTCGCACAATTACCAGTAAATTTGTCGTTGTCCTGGTCAAATGTGCTGAACATCATTCCGTCATGTCTCTCAACTAAACTGTCCGATGCTGTTCCATTATGCGCCGCGATATTCAAGACATATTTTGTCGCCTCATTTCCGATTGAAAATGAACTGTATTCCGCATATCCCTCTAAGCCTTGCTGATCAATGAGATCAACTCGTAGTTTGTACTGACCACTGCTTGTAAGTTTCCATATCTTATCATTCCCTAACCAAAAATTATTAGCCAACTGACCAAACCCTTCCTTATATGCCTCCCAGTTCTGTAGGAAATCGCTATTTGATTCTCTGTGCTGAAACACAGTCCAGCCGCCAGGTGGCGTGTCCATGTCACAACGAACCATGAAGCCATCGCTTCCCGTTGGATAAATTTTAAACACCCCAGTTCCTGCTGTCTTGTTTATAGTTTGTATATCCTGACAATCTCCCGAAAGAAGTGTACAACAAGTTTTATTATCATCAGCATCTGAAAACAGTATGACATTTATCAATTGTGAACGTGTAAATATTGTAATATGCAAAGTTTTAACAACAATGTAACACTGTGCAAATGTGCTTGTTTAACAAAACAACAAAACAAACAAACTGCATTATATCTACGATATAGAGGATCTTACATAAGACACATTTTACTTGATTGCGAAAACATTTTTCACAAATTATGAAAAAGAAAAAGAAACATTGATTGACGTGTTGAAGTGAAGTTTATGCCTGTGTATGAATTTCGCTGCAGACGCGGAAACGCTTATCAAATTATCAACTAGTTTTATCTACATTATTTTTGAATTTTTACGGCCGACTAACACGTTTATATGTATGATTAGTTATTTCAAACATTTACATAAAACTAAACCTTCTTCACAATCGAGTTTGTGAGACCATGTTCCGTTTGCCAGACAAGTCGCTCCTGTTGCCTGAAATGTTGCAATGTACATTTGGTTGCATCCGAATGTTACAGAGGCTCCTATGGACCGCATATTTCCATTTACTTTGCCATTTCGTATCGTGAAATTCTTACACTCTGTTGAAAGAAAAGTTTAAGTCCATATAAACGGAATAGAACAACTCACTTAAATAATATACATGTATACGTTTATAAATTTGACCTAAATGGCTAATTTGCTAATGTCAAAATACTTATTAGATTTGTATATTTATTTTGATCTTTTATTATTTGGGAAAACTGTATTATTATTTTTTTGTCCTATTTCTATTATAAATCATTTAATGCAATTAAGCTTTGACGAAAATATACTAATATACTATCATCGTAAGTGTTTTCTTTCTTATACATGTATATACTTATATACACAGGTACATGTTTATGGACATGTATTGTATTCCCATGCTAAAAAGATCTTATAATAAGTTAATAAGCTAATAAGTTCATTTTCTTAAAAAATATATAAATGAAACTTTCACATTCAGTTTGTCATATTTAGAAAACTCCAATTCGTTCAATCATCAAACGTCCATAAGCTTAATGAATTTAAACCATGAGCAATTTCAAAATTAATTGTTGCACCATGATGTTTTAATTATAACAGATTGTTTTTACCGCGGAATTTTACGTATTTTTCGCCGGTTGGGACGTGAAAAAATGGTTCGCTATAGCCGAAACTTCGTTTTAAGGGAGAACGTACTAAACGATATGATTTGGATTTAATATAAAATAAAGTAAAAATCGTCCGGGGAATTCAGATTTAGTTTGTTATTAACGATAATTCGTTATTAGCGAGTTCGACTGTATATATTGTATGCTATCTTCGATTTAAATCTGCATGCCCACTTGCCATGTTTTGCCATTAACTTATAACATTGTCAAAGTATATATATGAACAATGGTTATAATTTGATTGATGGAAAGATGAATATGATAGCGACAAGAAACATTTGCAAATTATTAAGCCCTTAATCCAGATTTGACAAAGAACGTTTACAAAACCCACCGGTATCCATTTTTTATCACGTAAAAGGTTTCTGAACCATTCACTTAGTGTCAGGTATACAGATGAAAGCAAAATGTACTTTTAAATTCATTCAATAGTTTGAATTTATTTTGAATCAAACTTATTTCCATATTGGCATATACATTGTTGTTTGTACTTAATTAAATCGAACAAGAAAGAGTGAATGGTTTCAAAGTACGATATAATACGAGGGTTGTTCAAAAAGTAATAGGACTGCAGTTCTTCTGTTCACATTTTTTAATTTACGTGTACAATTTGACAAGATAATAATATCGGAACATATCCTCTATATACAGTGAAAAAATCAATAAAATATGTTTAAAAATAACGACTCTGTGAAAATTTAAAATGACAAGGGGTACGCGACCCGGCGCACGCTAACGGCACAATAGATGACGTTTATGACGTCGTAAAATAAAAAAAATGTATCAAGCGTCAACCCTTCTGAAAGAATCCTCCCTAGTGTTCTAGGTAACTTAATCATATAACTTTGACCAGACCTCATATGTGGAGATGAAGCGAGAAAGAAAACGATCACATTCTTGTTCCACTATCCGAGAAAAAAAAGCCCGATAGCCGGCCACCCTCCGCTTTTTCTCTTATCCTTGTATCTAATAGTAATCACTATAGATTAAACAGGCATGAACTTAGTAAAAGTCTTATGATGTTAATGAAAAACCGATTAATAGAATTATTTTACACATATCATCGTACGTTCTTAAAACAATATGATTATGTAAGTAAAATAACAATAATTATCAACTGAAAAGTATATTTTCCTACTAGGAACAGCGTATCATTTTTAAAAGAAAATCGGGGAAAATATTAATAATTACCGTTAATCATTATAACATTAATTTATTGATAACACATATATCTAGTTAAATGAAATAGAATTTTGTTTGAAACAAATCATTTAGGCAGAACTGAATCAATAGATCCGATGCAGAAATCAAACATGCCGGACAGTTCGTGGACTGTTTACCTTCGATCATTTTGTAGCGCTTTTTCATTTGACGTCACTAACGTCCCGTCAATTTCCCGCTATCATTCTCATCCTTTCCTGTTTTTGATTTCGTACGTGCATTTTTGAGTCGTTTGTGCAAGCTGAGAACGAGTATCCTGATAGTCGATTAATTGTACTGTGTTAATTTTATGTTTTCATATGTATCTGAAGGAGTATCGCCAATTTGTTGGCAAAGTTAAACGATCGCACACATTTTCAGTTTTTTAACGACCGTCAAATTCTACATTTAACGTTTTGACCACTGCTTTTCAAAACTTGATGATTTAGCCATTTCATGTCTGAATGATGTCAAATTTGGGCATAATGTAACTTAAATATAATAAATTGTGTTGGTGGAATAAATGGGGAAAAAAGAAAATAAATCATTAATAAAATAGAAGTTCAACTAAGCTTCAATAACCTTTTATGTGCTGCGCCGGGTGCGTGTTACCATGGTTATTTAAGAACACAGGGAACACAAGTTAAGCATAAGAATTCAATATTTTAATGTTTAAATTGAAGAAAACATTTTTCGATCGCTGTATATATAAAATATTCTAAATTGAATTGAATATGAAGATGCAAGACTCTTAGTCCTATTACTTTTTGAATAACCCTCGTAATAGGCTTTTAGTAAAGCGTTCCTTTCCAACTAAATCAATAATATTATTTGATATTATCTACATGCATTTTTCATTTGCATGTGCTCGTTGATTCAAAACATGATAACTGCTTTCGAGATTTGTTGTTTACGAGTATATTCCGACTTGAACTTTTTTGTAGAAACATATTGTTTAAATCATTAACAATTTATAATTGGTTGAAATGTTAAAAAGACATTGATCGCATTAATGTTCAGCGTTGTTGTGTATGTTTATGATCTTGCTTTACATGAACAACCATTTAATTGTTGATGAATTATTTTCTGATTTATCCATTTCTAATGACCTATATACACTATATAAAATCTGAAAGTAACTTAAAATGTGTTTCTCATACCACTATTCCCTTTGTGATTGAGGGGTTGCCGTCGATGTTCGAGGCACAAGCATTGCAACTTAAGTTTATCTCTTTGTGATCGTAAGAGGCGACAAAATGGGTTTGAATAATTAGAGTCTATACTTCTACAAGCTTTCCCGACACAATAGTTTCATAAAAGCACTGTAAAAGTTTTGGCAGTATTGAATGGCCAAATTACCTGGTTTGTGTTGGTGTTGTTAAATAAAATACTAAAAAACTGTTGGTTTGGAAACATATCCTCCCTTAATTAAGAAATCAAGAATCAATATTTACCTTTAAGGGCACTTTTGGCATGGGTTAAATTTATAAAAGCCTCCGCAGGTAAAAAGCCATTTGTCATTTTTCTGTAGAAAGAAATTTACTCAACAAAAAAATAATACCTTGGAAATTTTTTTAAATTTCTTTTTAAAAAAAATGGCATTTTGCTTTGTGCTAAAATTTTGATAGGCGGTTTTACACTAAGCTTTTTCGGTTAAAAAGGATAAAGAGTATCCTTAGAACATTAAATCACAACAAAGTTCGTGAAAATTGCAGACTCGGTTTGATTGAGTCTGTACATGTATGTAATAGATAAAGAAAAAGTGCATCATCACTCTCGCCTCTGAGAAATATCAGATATTTGTATGAAAAATATAAATATATTAAAATAAACAAAATAATTTCTATAAATAAATCTGTTATCTGTCATTTTAGAAATATGCACTTAATTTAATAGAAGTAGAAAAAGGAATATATTGTTTATTAAAAAGAAATCAATTCTGAACATTCCACAATTGCGATTTTTCTTTACATCCATACCTCGCTTACATCCATGTCAGTCTTTTTTACGAGAACACATGCACGATTTCTCCTGGCATTTTCAATAGCTCCTTCATCATGTCCGGGATAAGCTCACATGTGTGAAGTCGTTGAAATATTTAATAGCCTTTACAATCTGTTCTTGTTGCACATTCATCTACACACTGCATAGCGAAACCTTTGTCAACGTCGTCAAATATCGTCAGTTTTAAACAATTTCATACTCTGAATTCTGACTTAACTTTTGTTCGTATTTGGTGAAAATGTTAATGTAGTTGTTACCAACGAAAACACAATACAGAAATAGTTTTGATCGTTTTGTAGTAGCCCATTCCTGCAGCACGGCTTCTTATGTAAGTTAATGTTACTATGCTGATAGTACTAAACCACAGTATTCTTTGCTGTTGCCAAAAAACAAATTCTGAACCGACCGAAAACTGAACAATAATCCACTTACAACGACACTATTAAGAACTTTCAACAAGCCTGTCTAAAACTAGACTCATATCAATAATTTATATTTTGAATAACATATGACTTTTCAATGTTTTATGACCTCATTTTTTAGCCACGCCATTAACGTAATAAGGTGTATATGAATAAAACATATAACGAACACAGAGACAGAGCTGAGAATGAAATTGCATTGTCCTGATTAGAACATTCCCTTGGCACCAGAACAAAATATGTTTGAAATTGAAATATGACAATAATCTTTTCTTTACAAACTTTTTGAAATTTCATGTAATGGTATGATAAAAAGGTATGCAATCTGAAGTCTAGTATACCTTTTATTCTAAGTTGCTGCAATTGTGAAAAATTAAGAGGTGAGGAATTTCCTATTTTCGGGACCATACATCGCTTTTCATTGAATGGGCACGAAAGTGTCACATTGAAGGTTCCATGATAACCACCATATGCATATAACTGCGGATGTTTCTAAATTCAAGTTTCATCATTACCATGATTAATGTTGAATTCTGCTTCAGTCGATGCTTGCAGGCATGGATGGTAAAATTGCACTTCCATTATCGAGCCTGCAACTTTTACAATTTATCGTTTTGTACGCTCTGTAGGGATTCTTTAATTCTCTCTATCTTAAGAAGATTTCAAATTCCTCATTTTGAACAGTCATTATGTAAGACTCTAAAGAACTTTAAATTGATCTAAAATACTAAGTAAATGCAGCTTGTTTCACATCTCTTTATAAATTAAAAGTAAAATGCTTATCATATTAAGCTTTTTATTAAATCTTCTTTTGAATGCATTTTTTGTTTACTCTTTTGCCAATGAAATTGTATGCAAGTAAAATAATGGTTTAATTTTGTTTTTTCTTTTCATTCCAATGCAAGTGCATAACGTTTTCATTTTTTTTTACGGCAAATAGAGAAAAACAGAATTCTTAAAGAAAGCACAACACGGCATTGAAAATGTTACATACTTGGATTGACTGAGCCTGTTTAAGGGTGGTAGTGGTAATTGAATGCTACCGTCCACGCCTCCGAGCACGGCCTTAAGCAGAATTTAACGCAGAATTCATCATCAAACATGAACTGGCAAAATTTTAAATTGTGAAACATCTGCAGATGTGTTCATATGGCGGTTGCAAGTCGTTCAACAAACAATACTCATCGGGAATGTATTTCCAATAAATAACAGCATCAAAATAATAACATCTCTTTAGTCTAGATAAAAGTACATCTACAATTACCCCTTTTTATGTTATTATCCAAGCTTTCCTACAATTTTCCTTTTTTTTAATAATTGTTAATGAAAACGGCGTGCCATTTGCCATTTCCTTTAAGGGTTTAATTAATTTTTGAATTATGAATTCATTGATTTAAAATGATGTACCAGCAAAATCACAGCGTGTCATATCATCATTCATCATTTTATTAAAGTAAGTGAAGTTTGTCATCAATTCTTTAAATCATAAGCCTAATAGTTTTACAATAATTAGGACTTCTATGATCATAATAGAAACAGCGCAGCAGGATGACATCACTCATTGCACATTGTCATTTTAGGTAGAGAAACCCCCTGTACTCAAACCAGGGACCCCTCATTTCCCTTTATTTTGTAAGATCTTCTTTAAAAAGGGCTATAAGGCCCGAAGCAATAACCAAAGCCAAATGCCGGGAAATTTCGAATGAACATGTTGTTTTTACTAGGGATGTATGTAAAGGGTATTATTAAATAAAATACGAAACCAACAGTTAAAACACTAGAAGTCTGATTTGTGTTTATGATTCGGTTTTACATTGGTTTTAGGGACTTCTTTACAGCAAATATAAGTCCTTACCAAAAGCGGGGATTTCTGCGTGCATGGTCGATGTGTTGTTTCTTTTACTAGTGTCGTATAAAATTCACACGGGTGTAACTAAGTACAGGGTTTATAGATGTGTTTTAAATATTTATTTTTATAACTCGCCTGCGTGTTTCTTTACAAAAAAGCTTTGAAAATTGGTGTTAATCTTCAGCATCGAACAATTATATACATGTAGTTATTATTTATAATTAGTGTATGGATTTGAATATTCTGACTTTTTTTATTTTCTTCAGAATATTCATGAGGTAGTCTTGTGGTTTGGGCTATCATAGTGGACGGCGCTCATTCTTACTGATTTTTACATGCATATTTTAAACTTTCCGGATTGAATAACGTCTCATAACTAAGATGACTGTAAAATCAATATCCTTAAGTTAATAAAATAATCGATAGTTCTATGTAAGTGTCTGTCTCATATAGATTGAAGTGTAAAAATACATTGTTTTCTGTTGGTGTGGTTGTTTTAAAACGATGGAAACAAAATGACATAGGTTAACATTGAATTTTAAATTAAAATAAACTACAACATAATGGAAGTTCTGCTTGATGATAGATAATTGATGTTTACAAAGTTTTATTAGATATAACGATAACATATTAAATGTCATAAAATATAACATTATTTCACGCAATCATGGTTCGTAAACAATAATGTAGTTTTAATTTATTTTTCATTTAACTAGTTTTCATTTTTATGGCAGAATATTCTTTAAACAGTTGTCGCCTAATTCTGCATGATAATTGTCTGTCCATGAAGTGCAATTTATTTTTAATACGCATTGTAACAATTTAAGTTAATATTTAAGTACCTTACAATTTTCTATCAAGATACATGTACTTTCAAACGCCTAACTGTGAACTAGGGCTTTCATAATTATGTGTCAAAGCATTTTTTCCCCAAATAAAGTATTGTGAAAAAGTTTCGTCCCCTAAAATTTGGGGAAACCTCTTTTTTTTTTAACGGACTAAAACTTTGTGCTTCAAATCATTTCTTTTTTTTTATCTCTTCTCGAAATTCATTTATAGATTTAAATTTTAAACGAAAGCAACTTTTTTCTTTTCCGGGGTTTTCCCCTGTTACAAGAATATTTTTCTTCGATGTATTTATTTCAGTAATTCATAACACCATGGATCCTCAATCTTCACTCTTTCTGCGTAACTCTCATATAAACCCTTAAAATTAGAGCTAGGGGTTCCAACCCCCTTTTTTCACATCGTATTAAAAAAGTATAGGGGTTTTGTAAAAGGGGGAAATCGCGGGTTTTCAACCAACTGTCCGGCTTTTTTTCCGTTCCCCTGATTTTCAAATATTTTGTCATCATTTTCATTTAAATAAATCGTATTTGGCATACCCTTTCGAAGCATGTTGATCTTGATATAAACTCATTTACCGATCACTGTGTGTTACTTTCCATATCCTATCGTTACCTAACCAAAGCGTGTCATTCTATTGACCGAACCCTTCCTTATATGCTTCCCAGTTCTTTAGAAAATCACTATTTTATTCTCTGCGTTAAAACACCGTCCAGCCGCCAGGTGACGTGTCCATGTCACAACGAACCATGAAGCCATTGCTTTCAATTAGATAAATCTCAAATAACCCTGTTTCTGCTGTCATGTTAACAGCTTTTAACATCTTGACAATCTCTCGGAAGTAAACAACCGGTGCAAATGTTAAGCCCATTAGTATCTCTTAAATACAGAAAATTTGAAAGATCCAAGTAAAAGTGACTTTCAACTTGTGCAAAGTAGGTTTTAATACGTAAAACAGAAATTGAGACTGCCATAGTTACATAGAATATATGCAATCGCAAAGGACAAATTGATGAAAGGACTGAAACAGTTCAACAAAAAGCAATTAACATACTTTTTGCCTTTTTCCTTTTATACACTAGGTACAATGTAATAAGAAGCAAAACGTCAAATATAAGAATGTTGTTAATTATTATTTAGTAAAATATTCAAATATAAGAATGTTTGTGACACAATCTTAAAAAAATAAGTATTATGTGTCCATTGTTCGAAGAAAAATCGGTTTTCAATCATTGTGGCCAAAACCTGAAGCTGCTAAAATTTTTGATAAATTTTCTTCTAAAAGATATGTTGCAACATATATAAAAGATACTAGTGCAACCTTTTTTTACAATCTAGAGCGTATGACCATTTGGCATTTGCAAGACAAGTCGCGTCTGATTCTTGAAATGTTGCAATAAACATTTGGTTGCCCTCGTATGTTATTGAAGTTCCTATGGACTGCACATTTCCTTTTATTTGACCATTTTGAATCCTAAAACTTTCACACTCTTTCCAACAAGAACAAAAGAACAGTTAATCACATTTAATTATGTATCCAATATGTTATTGTAAAGCTTTATGTTCTCGTGAATTGATATGGGACAAGACTATTTACGAAAATATACAAAAAATGTAGACTAATGTAACTTTTTCAATATACGTACAATAATATTATAGAAAGGGTAATTATTTTGTGTACTTCTTTCCCGTCTGCAAAAAAACAGCTACTTAAAAAAACTCCAAAACAACAAGAACAGAATAACAAGATATGAAACAAGTATTTACCTTGTTATCGCACATGAGACATCAGTGTCGATATCACATGACTTCCCAGGGTTACAAGAACATTTGTCATTAACCTTTTGGTAATAAAACATCACTTAGAAATAAATCTTGAAAATATTAGTTATTACAAATGATTCGTATAATTTATAAAAAACATTCTATTCGGTCGTTTAAAATTATAAAATATTAATTCAACAATTGTGACCCAGAATCGTTAGTTATTAAATAGGTTCGTCTATTGATTTTTCCTTTGCTAAGAATGCTTTTTATACGGTTACAAAATACAAAAATATACAAAATACCTAATAATTAAATTTTAAGAATTTACATCGAAACAATGTGGAATTAGAGTTTTTCTTGTGCTATCAAACAGCACACCATCATGGTCCGGAATAAGTTCACAGGCGCGATAAAGATTGAAATAGTTAACAGCTATACAATATGTTGTGTTGCAAATTCACCCACACACTGCGATTGCGATACTTGTGAACTGTAAACTGTACTTTTTAAAACTCGAAATATTGTACTTAACATTGACTTCTCTAGTCATTGCTACGCAACATAAAATTGCTGCTTAGAAAGCATGTAATATGACTAAGTTTATGCCATCCCATCTCTTTAATAAGAGATCGTATTCCATTGATTCAAGGTTAATCGACACTGCCTTCTAAAGAATAAATATACTTTATAATTCTCTTATGCGAAATGCAATACCGATTTCCGGATCACCTAGGGGAGACAAGAATATTTAGTTCTAATTAATTCATTAGCATCACGTTCAAATTAGCATGGCTTCAAGTATCCATCTCAAAAGTTATAGATAGTTTACCAAGTCTGAAGTATATATGACGCTATGGTGTGCTTTTTATATTTTATGGAATATTTAATAAACAGTAAAAAGATTTAAATATTTGAGTTATAATTTACATGTTATGTGCGATTGAAGAATGATTTTGAAGTATTTATCATTATATTTTTACTGCGTAACTAACGCAGGGAGGGTTATTTTTGCATATTTTGACATCATTTTTGTAATTCACGCATATTGTAAATGTCGTTAACAATGTATAAATTACTTTTTTAATTACTTCAAACTTTATACATTTCAATATATTTTCAAAATGTTACAAAAGTAGCATAAAACTGGAGGCATGCTGCTTTAGAAAACAGATGTTATTAAAATGAATTGTATAAAAGTACAAAGGCATAAGAAATTCAACATAAAGAATGTTTTAGACCGCATTTATATCAGCATATCACGATAAAACTATGCTCTTTGATCATTATCACTTTTTCGAATGGAAAATAATGATTTTAAAGCTCTATTATTTATCAGGATGGAAATAATGATTTTAGGGCGCCATCATTTATTAGAATGGAAATAATGAAATAGTAATTTTAGAGTGGCATCATTTATCAAAAAGGAAATAATGATTTTAGAACACGGTCATTTATAAGAATGAAAATAATGATTTAAGAGTGCTAAAATAATCAAAATTGAAATTATAAGTTTTGAGCTTGAATATTTAACAGAACGTATACAATGATTTTAAAGCGCTATCATTTATCAGAAAGGAAATAATGATTTTAGAGCGCTATTATTTAACAAATTAAAAATGGACATTATGATTTTAGAGCGACATCATTTATGAGAATTGAAATAATGCTTTAAAAGCGAGGTTTATTATCATTTATCGCAAAAATAGTTCACTATAAAATCATTATTTCCAGAAAAAAAGTACAGCGCTATGATTTTTTTCCAAATATAAATAATGATTTTAGAGCCCTATTATTTAACAGAATGGAAATAATGATTTAAGAGCGATATTATTTAACAGAATGGAAATAATGAAGTTTAAGCGCTATCATATATCAAAACGGAAATAATGATTTAAGAGCGTTAGTTATAAAAAATAAAATAATGCTTTTAAAGGATTATCACTTTTCCAGAATAATATAAAGAACAATTGTTTTCTACACAAGTTGCTGCTGTTATTATGTTTCTGTGCATCCACACCCCTTACGATGAAATATTTAATACTAACGCAAAATGTGAATTTCTTTCATTGAAATTAAAGCTATTTTGCTGCAATAAAAAGTTATTAAAATGAACAGCATGCTCTATCTCTGTTCTCAAATCATTGAAGTTAATTTCGACGAATTTTCATTTCTGTAAATTTCATAAACACGCAATCATCCCTCCATTGTTTCCACGTCATTCCGCGATTACAACGGACGTTCCCATATGGTCCGTTCAAGTTTGAAATCTGACAGTCAAAGTACCACCAACCTCCCTTAAAAAGATAAACGCAAGAACTAAAATATGTATCGTGGTCTTGGTCAATAGTGCTGAACATCATTCCGTTATGACCCACGATCAAGCTGTCATCGGCTGTTCCACTATGGCCAGCGATATTCAAGACATATTTTGTCGACTCATTTCCGATTGAAAAAGAACTGTATTCCGCATATCCCTCCGAGCCATTTTGGTCTATGAGATCAACTCGTAGTTTGTACTGCCCACTGCTTGTGAGTTTCCATATTTTATCATTCCCTAACCAGAAATTATTAGCCAACTGCCCAAACCCTTCCTTATATGCTTCCCAGTCTTTTTCAAAATCACTATTTGACTCTCTGCGTTGAAACACCGTCCAGCCGCCAGGTGGCGTGTCCATGTCACAGCGCACCATAAATCCATTGCTTCCTATTGGATAAATCTCAAACAACCCTGTTTCTGCTGTTTTGTTGACTGCTTTAACATCTTGACAATCTCTCGGAAGTATACAACCCTTGCAAATGGTGTTACCCTCAGTATCTATAATATAGTGGTTTATTGACCATGATACACATAGAATGTTTGCAATATCAATATGATATATACATTTATATGATGTGCAATAAATTGAGACAAAAAAACTCGAACATTTCTCTTTTGGATTTCTTTGACTAAAAAAGTAAAACAACATGTACTATTAGGGTAGCGACCGTAATATCGAACAAACAATTGGCGTATTCAATAACATATACAATGTCATGCTTATTAATATTGATGCATTTCTTTTATTATTTCAAATAGGTTTAAAGAAAAAGAAAGACATGCAATAAAAAGAACGGTACAAGAACCATATTCAAGAAAAGTAGTTATATCGTAAGTTTTACTTTAGATCTGAAATTCGTTTGAGCCAAACTTTTTCTAGAAGATTCTTTGTTTGCTAACTTATTTTTCTTTTCCATTCCACTCAGTAAAACATAAAATGTTCCTATATATATATAGCAAAAAAAGGAAAACCTTTTGTACAATCGGGAGTGTATGACCAAGTGCCATTTGCAAGACAAGTCGCTCCTGATTCTTGAAATGTTGCAATGTACATTTGGTTGCATTCGTATGTTATTGAAGCTCCTATTGACCGCATATTTTCATTTACTCGACCATTTTGTATCGTTAAACGTTCGCATTCTATGGAAATGGATAGCTTTGTTAATGGAACCTATTCATATGAACACGTTATTTTAAATAATATATTAACGTGTGATCTTAATGATTATATTTCTATTTAATTATTTAATACAGATAATTGGGGGAAAGCTTTTTTCCAAATACCTGTTCATTTACAGTGTAAAGAATTTGATCATTATCAGTTGAGAGCAATTCTAAATTAAATAGTTCATATTGTATTTATTACACTGGAGACATAATATTTACCTTTAATCGTGCAAGACACATCTTGTTCAAGGTCACATGACTCCCTCGCGCCACAAGGACAGCTTTCATTAATCTAATGGTAAGGAATTTCATCAATCAGTATTGGTTATCGAGAAAGTGTTTGACTGTTTCAGACTTAAGTTAAAAATATAAACCCACGGTCTTAATCTTTTCTTTCAAAGTTTTTTTGTAGCAGCACCAGTAGCTATAGTAGTAGAAGAAGTAGCAATATAAGCAGTTACAGGAGCAGTATATGTAGTAGTCAAAACAGCAGTACTTGTAGCAAAAAGAAGTAGCAGAAGAAGAAGTATAAGTAGCAGCAGCAGTGGTAGAATCATTAGCAGCAGTAACAGTATAAGCATAAGCAGCAGTAGTAGCAACAACAGCAACAATAGTAAAAGCAGTAGTAGTAGTAGAAGCAGAAGTAGTAGCAGATGAAGTAGCAGAAATAGTAGCAAAAGCAACAGTAGTAGCAGCAGTAGCAACAGCAACAACAACATAAGCATCAATAGCATTAGTAATATTAGCAGCAGTAGCAACAACAAAAAAATAGCAGAAGCTGTAATAGTAGTAGCAGCCTTTGTAGCAGTTGCAAAAGCAGTAGTAGTAGCATTAGTAATAAAAGTAGCAGTAGCAACACAAGCAGTAACAGCCCTAGCACAAGCAGGAGCAGCACTAACAGTAGTAGTAGTAGTAGTAGTAGTAGTAGTAGTAGTAGTAGTAGTAGTAGTAGTAGTAGTAGTAGTAGTAGTAGTAGTTGTAGTAGTAGTAGTAGTAGTAGTAGTAGTAGTAGTAGTAGTAGTAGAAGTAGCAGTAGCAGTAGCAGTAGCAGTAGCAGTAGCAGTAGCAGTAGCAGTAGCAGTAGCAGTAGCAGTAGCAGTAGCAGTAGCAGTAGCAGTAGCAGTAGTAGTAGTAGTAGTAGTAGTAGTAGTAGTAGTAGTAGTAGTAGTAGTAGTAGTAGTAGTAGAAGTAGTAGTAGTAGTAGCAGTAGCAGTAGCAGTAGCAGCAGCAGTAGTAGTAGAAGACGTAGTATTAGCAGCAGCAGTAGTAGCAGTAATAGTGGTAGCAGTATTGTGAATGTGTTACTACAATGATCAATGATCTTTAATAATTTGGGGTTCATTTTTCTAAAAAAAAAATTGTTTCTTTATTTAAATTCTGCAGTAGATTTTTTATGCTAAAAAAGCATTACCTCGGTTGTGATCATATCAGCCTTTTTAACCATAACGCATCCACGATTGACCTTTGTAGTTTCAAACAACACACCATTGTTGTCCGGAATAAGTTCACAGATCTGATAACTGTTGAAATAGTTAACAGCCTGGCATTCTTTTCTTGTTGCACATTCATCAACACACTGCGATAGCGTTACTTGTGTCAGCGTCGACAAAATATGATCGGATTTTAAACAAAATTTCCAACTTGAAATGCTATACTTAAATTTTGATCCGTTGCTTCTTGTAATGCTACATGCAAATGTTACAATCGAAACACATAATACAGCAACATATTTGTATTTGTATAATTCCATTGCTGTAATAAGAATTATTTCATGATTTTCATGTAGTTCAACTGACGCTCCTATGCAAAAAAAATATATATTGTTTCATAGTTTTTGAAAATGCATATTATCTTAAAACAATTGACAGATTTACCCTTGCAAATCATACAAACACAATTAAACTAATTAGTTTTAATTAATTCATCACTAACAGTTATTGTAGGACTCATTATCGGTTCAAGAATCTCACAAGACTAAGTGATACGTGGCGTTTAAATATAATGAAATTTGAATAAATTATGATTTTTAGATTGGCTCGATATATCAGTAAGCGTTAATGTTCCTGTAATAGAGCGGCATTAAGCCCTTTTTTGTTTGTTGGAAAACAATTCTGTGATGTAACAAACTAATTATTTCAGTAATATTACCTAGGAAAAATGCCTCATATCACTATTAAACCTTCACCAAGACAGCGCCCTGAGAATTATAAATAGCGCGCAGAGACGTTCGTTTCTTCTAAAAATAAATGATTCGAATAAACTATTCGCCCGCTTTACTTATTAACATATATATAGAGAGGACCGGTAGATAAGAGGTTTCGAGGGTTTTCCTTATTGGTTATTTCATTCATCAAAATTTTTTTTTTTGATTTGACAATTATATAAAACGATTTATCTTAAAATAACATATTTAAACTTAAGAGAAGTTGAAGGCCGCTTTAAGCAAAGAACTGTTTATTTGACAGTAATCACTTTTCGAAAAGGGACAACAGAGCATGATTACAGTAAGTTCGGTCCAGACGTTGGTGTTGATTGGTTTTTGTAGTTTATTTTCTGGGTGTAAGCAGTAAGCTACTTTTGATTTTACAGAGCATAGTCTGGCCACCGCATAGGGGCCCGTACGTTGCCATCAATGCGATTTATAGACACCAATTTGCTTATTTTGTCGTAAAGGGTTCCTATTCTTTTAGGTAAGACGCAATTAACAATCCAATATAAGATATTGGATACTGCAGTGCGCAGTAGTTAATTGGTATTAGGTATTTTATACAAATTAGATACAAGTATGTACATACAATGAATGTATATAATGTGTGCACTGAACTATTCACAGGAAAATAAAACGTTATTCGGGTTCGTTCGAATAGATAAGCATGTATAATTCACTTTCAATCGGATAATAAATTTCGTATGATTTATAATTTAATGTATTATATGGTTTAACCCCGGTGCGGATAGAGACCGGGCCACCCGACTGGTTGTAGTCTAGAAAATGATTTTTTTAAAATGTGAAGTAATCACTAGTTTGGATGGTTATATTTTAAGTGTATTAATTGATTATATGTAGTTTTGTGTGATACCAGATGATTTAAAGTTGAAAACGTGAATTCCTGAAGTTTAAATCGTGAATTCGTAAAGTTGAAATCATGAATTCGTGATGTTGAAATCTTTAATTGACGAAGTTTAATTCGTAGGGTTGAAATCGTGAAATCGTGATGTTAATATCTTGATTTCACGAAATTGAATTCGTATAGTTAAATCGTGAATTCGTAGAGTTTAAACAGTGACTTCAAGAAGTTGAAGTCGTAAAATCATATAGTTGAAATCGTGAATTTATGGAGCTGAAATCGTGAATTAATTAAGTTGAATTCGTGACATCACGAAGGTAAATTTGTGAAATTGAAATTGTGATTTCATGAAGTTGAAATTGTGAATTCGTACAGTTGAAATCGTGAATTAATGAAGCTGATATCGTGAACTTGTCAATTCTGGATGTTGCAAAAATTTATATTGTGAATTAATGAGAATGAGATCGGGAATTGCTGTCGTGTTGTTTTCAGTAACATTTTCAATGCGCTCACATGTTGTTAATGGATTGTACAAGAATTTTGCAAAGAATAAGATCCAATGGATATATGTATACTTTTTAAAACAGAAGAAAATATTACCCTTTAAGCGCCATAACGTCATTTCAGTGTACGTGTTGAATTTCAATCTTTGATATACATTTCCGTATACATTTATAATGCATCATTTTCAGACAAGCTTAAAACATTTTAAACCTTTTCAAAACTAGACCTCAGAGAACGTTAATAATATGGATGGCCATGTTGCGATTCAAAGTTACGTACTTGGAGGAGGGACAACATATTAAAAAAGAGACACGCAAATTAATAAATGTTAAATTTTACTGTCAAAAATAAATACATGTTATATTTTCAGAAGGTAAATCATTTGACGTAGTGATAAAGAATTTGATCTTGTCCCTCACTGAGAGTGTAATATCCGAGCCCGGTTGCGTCCCAACAAACGGCCTCTCCTTGTGGCTCATCTTTATATGCTATTTTTGTCCCAGGTGTCTGTAGCGTGGCTAAATAGTCATTTGAACCGTGTAAATTCCAATGATAGATATTGTGATGGGTCTGAAACAGAGACGATATAGTTATATAGCTGCAATAATAAAATCATTCTATAGATAAGGTGTTACTTCCTTGTTAAATAGCCAGAGATTGCCTGAAAAAGTTCAAGATTTAATGGAATATAAGGAGAATGTACATAATGTTTTATTTTAGAAACGTACACACATTGTTTTCTGGGGAAAAGAGATTATTTCATAGTTTCTTTGAGCATTTTAGGATATTTGAATTTAAAAAAATACACAATGTTCATGTATTTGCCATTCTTTGACCAGCTGTAAATTTTCCCGAAAATTACATTTTTTTTCGAAAGGGTTTGTCGGCAACGACTATATAACGAGATAATAAGATAATGTTAAGTAATGGACACCATTCTTCTAGATGAATACTTAATTATAAAGTTATGTTTTGTTGCCATGTCGCACCAAGTTAGTCGACAAGAAAAATCAATATCGCAGTCGGACCTAAAAATGTTATGAAAAACCAAGTAAATAACTTTACAAAACTTAAGGATACCGGTGATATAGAGTGAATACCTTTATCAAAGGGGAAATAACCGAGTAGATAAATTTATGAAAGGATAATATCAGAGTTAATACCTTTATAGAAGGAGAGTTACAGAGTCAGTGCATTTATCAAATGGTAATAACAGAAAATGCTTTATTATAAAAGTGCTTTAACAGAGTAAATGATTTATAAAAAAAACGAAATTACAGAGTAAATACCTTTATAAATTTAAAATATAAAAAAGGAATTAACGGAGTAAATACTTATATTAAACGAAATGAAGGAGTAAATACTAATGTAAAGAGAAATGACGGAGAAAACACCTATATAAAAAAGAAATAACGGATTAATTACCTTAATAAATAAAAAGAAAAAACGGAGTAAATACCTTCATAAAAAAACGGAGTAAGGTAGTATTTAAATGCCTTTATAAAAAGGATCTGTCGGAGTAAACATTAAAAAAAGGGAAATTACTGAGTGAATAATTTTATGAAAGGTCAATAATGGAGTTAATACCTCTATAAAAATGTAATAACGAAGTGGAAATCTTTATTACTGAGTAAATACCTTTACAAGAACCTCATTCCCATTCGGAGAAATATCACCACCAACAGGATCATTCGAGCCTGATTCAATGTTAACTACCGCAGTTGAGCTTAAAGAAACTCTCGAGCTCGAACCCCATGCGGAATTTGGCAGCTGAACAATAGTACCGTGACCATTTGAAACTTTGGAAATTATGAACAGATTGGCACTTGGGTCCACCATCAACGTCTCACAATCATCAAAGTTCCATCTGTAATGAATAAAATCTGTAGAGTCAAGAGCGAAGAGCGAAGATTTTGTACATGAAATTATATATCATGATATATGATATACAAATATGGACTTTTTAGCTGGTGAATATGACGTGATATGTACTGAAAAAAAATAATATTGACCGAGGCGACTTTTATATATTTGCGAGTCGCCCAATGTTTTTGTTTTCAGAATAATAACAGCAAACCTGTTATGATGTCACATCATGCATCATGTCTCTTGGGGATTTCGAAAAAATCGGTAAATCATTATACTCTGAAAATCTATTTTTAGAAGAAAAAAAAAAACAACAGTAAATATACTCTGACATGTCTGATATTGACGTGTTTTGTTGTTGTTTTTTTTTTACAAAAAAGATACTTCTTAGCTAATTTCAAAACTATTTATAGATTAAATAATAATACAAATTATACAACAAAGTAGTTGTACGGGTATAAATTTTACTATGCACGTTATAACTTTAGACTTGATGCTTACGAGAACTCTAATTTATCGCTTGAACCAACATGTATTGTTTGACTGTTTAGATCATCAGGTTCAGTAACTCTGTAAATATTATTCAGAGCTCCATTGCCACTGTTGCCAATGTCGCCTGGAATGTAAAAATAATTTTTTTAATAGCTACAGTGCAAGGTTATGCCCAGTTCTTATAATACATCATTTGAGATCATAAAGATATGTGCTTTTGTACAAAATTTAATAGTTTACAATATTTTGTGTTTCAGGTGTGTAAAGCAATTAGTTAAAACAAAGGTAAACAAGTGGCGGCATGGTTAAAGGGCCAGTTAATAATCTATGGATAATATTATATTATATAAGTTACTCATTTGAGGTTCATATCCCGACAAAAATATTTAATTTGTCAATTACAAGCACCCCAATAAAATCAAATCAAGTTTAATAGTAACACTTATTCACCTATATAGATACAAAAGTCACTGTTCGGATTAGGGTGACATTTCCCAAGAGCTATATCCTCCCAATCATTTGACGTGACGCCACTTATTGTAAGGGTAGCCTCTTATTCTCCAGTTAAAGCATTTATGACGTAAATTTCTGCAGCGCCCCCATGATCATTGTGAGTATAAATAGCTCCCGGATGTTTACGACTTGCTGCAAGTCCAGACGCCTCGGTAATCTTGTGGGATGTCACATGACCGGCTTGGTTCCATTGAAAGTTCGGCACTTTTAAAAGAATACAACAATTTTTTTCATTAAAATAATGCATGCATAATTGGGTATAATGGTTAATTTGTGCTGACATTTTCGTAAAATAAGTGCACATGATACTCGTCCTCTTTGTTGTTATATTACAATATACACACATACGCAATTTGTCTTATCATTCCTATACACATGTTTTATGTTACATTTTCATGTAGCGGAGGACTAGCACTTACATATTTATAGACACAGAATTTAGCGTTAATTTATCTTAAATATATTCATAGACAAATAGAATAAAGTTGCATAAAGCTTCCATATATATATTTTCTTGTTTGTGTCCCTATTCAACAATCAATAACTGTATAGTCAGGGGGCAGATGCCTAACGTTAAGATGTATATCGCTTTACCCAGATAAAATTAGTTCGAGCCCTTATGGCAACGCTTCCCCATGTGATATCAGGGTATGCGGTTACAAATTCTAAAAAAAATAAACAAGTAGTGTTAGAATCTAACCTTAATCAAGCTAATATATTAATTTATTATTTATATTATCTTAATAAAAGTATGTTCCTTTTTATTTAATTTTCTAATTATTTTTCTTTTATTAAAAAGTAAAACATTCTTACCTTGACTTTTCACGATTGAATACATATGCGCATTTCCCGCGAAATGAAACAAAGCGAAACAAATTCGTAGAATAACTTTGAAATAAATCATTCCTCTGACTTTGTCCACCTTAACCTTTCAGCCTGTTTCTTCCTTCCTTGGCATAAGTCATGTATTGTAAAGAATGTAACACAGTGACAGTGACGAGTTGAATGTCGTATGGCGTGTGTATCGTGTTTCACGTATTCAAAGGTCCTTATCAAGACAGACTATGTCTAGATCTGCACTTCTTTTTTTGTCTTAAATAATGCATGTTCATCCAACAACCAAAGAATGTTGCTATTTTTGGAACGATGTATTATTGTTACCAAAATATTTAGTGTCTATGTATTTAAAAGAATGTATGATAAAACTGACCGAATTTCTCTGTACAAAAAGTACACACTGACATTATCAATGGTATTTTAATTGTTTATTCAATGTATTCAGTATAAGTCCATTTATAGGTGTGAGGTACGAAAAAAGTTCCTTTTTTAAGAAAACATTGATTTAAATAAATCTACCTAAATATTCAAGTACTGGTTCATATCGTGGGCAGGACGGGTTTTAAAGCTAGCTACGTATTCGTATTTCCATCAAAGAGTCATCATAGTTACACGATGAAAGTGGTAGTATGCTCACGTCAAATTGTTTCAGTAATATTTTTCAAAAGATTGGCTTTTATAATTGTAATTGACCAATAATTGATAACAAAAAAAAAAATAAATAAAACAAAAATAAAATTAAATAATTAAATAAAAAAATGTTTATGTTACAATATAAAAACTGCCTAAATTATAAAACGTAATCACGTCTTTTGATTCGCGTTACTACGCCCTTTGTTTCGTGTAATAACGCATTTTTGCGTTATAACGCCTTTATTTGCGTTAAGTACTACGCCTTTATTCTCGTGATTATGCCCTTTTTCGCGTTATCACACCTTTTGTTTCGCGTTATAACGCCTTACCAATACCATATTTAATTCATATAAGCTTTCGAATGTCAGATATTTGTAAGAATAACATGAAATAGTAAAAGTTTAACCTAAATGAATTATTTCCTGGATTTATTAACATGTCAGTTGCATACTGATTATATAGCCAGTGCACAGTATATGTAAAGCATCGATAGATCTTTGACTGAACACTCAATAAACGACAATATATATTCAAATATCTCTTAATTTGTATAACATGAAAATCGTGAATTCGCAAGGTTAAATCTGTGAAGTTAAAATTGTGAATTCGTGAATTGAAATCGTTAACTCATGAAGTTAGAATCGTGCATTCGTGAAGTTAAAATCGTGTGTTGTTCTTTGCAATAAGATGTCATATTTTCTTACAGGAATAATTCGAATTTTTTTCTGTTGTTTATCATTGCCAACAGCACTTTTTCATACACTCCTTAACATACAATTTTGTATTGCTTCAATAGGTGTACGAAATACGTTTTCTATTTCCTCTCCAATTCAAAAAAAAATTAAATGAAAGTAAAAAATTTGATAGTTTAATTTTGTAGTTTCGATATTTACTTTTAAGTTGGTACCTGTATTATCTGGTTTCTGTTAGTATTTTTGTAACTTTCACGATACATTGATTATATTTTAATAATAGTACATGTAATTTGAAATCATTTATTTTGTTTTCGATGGGCTATTGTAAATGCTATTTTTGTGGAAGTCACAGCACAACATAGTTTTCTCTTCACAATGCGCATGCATAGGTTTCATAACTTATTGCCTTCTTCAATTTTTGATTACTTACTGTAACTAAACGAATATAGACGTTCCACCTATATGATTCATTATTTCAAGACTTAAGACGGAAGTGTCTATCTAATTACTTTGCAAATATAATTGTTGCTTTCTCTGTTGCATTCTCGTTTATTATTATAATTATTATTAATATTATTATAAGTATTATTATTATTATTATTATTTAAATAACTTAATCAAAATTTCCATTGTAGCGTACATAATATATTTGTTATTAAATTATACACGAACTTGTTTTAATAACTTGTTCTTTTTTTCAGAAATGACGTTCTATTGAATCACACAGGTACATTAAGAAACATTTTAACCGCGGCTATTAAATATATTAAAATTCGTTATTTCATTCATTTAACATGACAAGTTAAAAGTGATATCATAAAAAAGAAAACGTAAATAATTCCTTGGAGCGTCCGTCTTCCCCCTTTTCAAAGAAATGTCAAATAAGGTGACACTATTTCACTTGAACATATTTTCTCATGCTTTTGTGAGAGTAAAGCTAATATGCTGACCATGTCTGGTATATGAAAGAAAAATCATTAGATAAAAAATACCTGACTTACTTATTTCGTCTGCTGCATATAGCTTTTTATTCTATCAATATATTATATTATTTTATAAGAGCGGGATTTGAGTCTATGTTCTACATGTCATGTTGAAAGCAAAATAAAAAGTTAAATCTGGATTATAGGCCCAATATGCCTTGCCTCAGAAATGCTACCAATTTTATGTCCTAAAGACTTTTCGTTCTTGGTATCTTGTTATAGTTTTCAAAGCTGTGCTCATTTTGCCATATACATGGGATAACTGCAACTATAGTGTTGTTGGCAATCGGTATAATTATAGTGAATTAGTACTTTGTATTGACGTCAGAATAATAATTTGCTACATTTTGCTACATTTATGACATATTACTGCATGCACGTTCAGTGCTTCTTTCTTCTCTTGGTTAACATCTAACGTATCTTAAATTCATTATTCAAACACATGCTTGATTCTGAGAGAAAATTTAGATTTCTTAGCCATAATGTGTCTTTAAGGTCAATTTAGCAGATTCAAGGTAAAGTAGTTTACATCCATTGTGTCACACTGTTTACTAAATTTGAATTCGTCTATAGAATTCAGTTGTTATAATTGCATAACTCTGATGAATAGTTTACAGAAGAACAGTTTAAGCAAAATTAGGCAATTAAGCATCAGAATTATACATGTATTTGTATTTGTTACAAAGTAATATGCATATTTTTGTTAAGAAATAGCATTTATTAGAATAGTATAAAGGCTTTCTCAGAAAGGTTTAGCTATTATACCTTAACTTTCAGATACATTTCATTTTGGCTTGTCCATCCTAAATTACAGTTACATTTCTACACTAAATGTGTTTTTAATACTTGCGGTTTTATGTCTTCAAAGAACACAATATGTGTTTGTATGTTAAATAGACATCTATAACTTTAGAGACTTAGAATTATTGAAGTCATATAATATTTATGTGATCTATACGATAAGACTGTGTATCATTTTAAAAATCTGAGTATGTATCATACAGTTGTTATGATAAATCGATTAAATTTCTAATATGAAATTTTTAGGGATGACACTAACCATAATATAACTTTTCAATTATAATACGTGTATTGATATATGAACAATGCTGGAGAAGGTATGTTGTCTGACCAGACCAAACACACACGACCTTTAATTTCAGCCACTGTTTATACCTTTCTGTTTTATTATAAAATTTAGAAGTTGGATATTAACTTGCTTTAGTCTGTCACACGCTATTTATGAATATGAAAAAGACTAAATATCTTTGAAATTAGCCTAAGGGTCAATTTATATTATTTTTTTAAATCTCGTTAGGCAGTAAAAATTCCAGTATTATGAAGATGTTCCGTGATCTGCAAGCATTTATATTTTAGGCGATTTACAATGTCGTTTCCTAAGCTTAAATCCAAGCTCGGTAGCAGGACCTTCGTTAAACAAAATTTTCAGCGGAAATTGAAAATAAGTGTATATAGTGTTAATAAAGCACTTTGATCAAATTGCAATATTTACGATTTGGAGTCGTTTAAATCATCGAAATCAAATAGTTTCTTATGGACTTTAAACATAACGGTTTCATGTAATATTTCATTTATGCATTATGACCCAAAATACTGCGTAATTTGTTTCAAATGTCTGAAAGTTTGGTACGCGTGTGTACCATACCATAGCAGCTCTTAAAACTTTCAAAATTTTACCTTCTCTTTAAAAAAAATCCTACATAAAACAACATTACAACGATTTGTACACAACCTGAAAAATGCTGAGAAATTCTGGCGCCTTGAGCAATATCTCACGAATATTCACCAAGTAGCAGAAAGGTGATAAAAAAAAATCTAAATAGAGTGATAATCTCTGTTCTATTTTTAAACTCGATATTAAAATATCACGTGGGTTGGCCATTATGATAAAGGTGTTAAAAATAAATTGAATAACCTTTTTGTTGGCTATTGAAGTGATAATGTATAAAGGACTTTCAAAAACGGTTATTAATCAGAGCGGGCGCTGTGGTGCAGTGGTTACACTGTTTGCCTACAGATCAAGGGGTCGCTAGTTCGATCCCCCGCTACTCTACTAATAAAATCATCAATTTAAAACATAACATACACAATAAAACTAACTACAACATAACTTACAACTAAACACTTTACAGAACAGACAACATGAGACAAAACAGGACATACAACATGAGACAAAACAGAACAGACAACATGAGACAAAACAGAACATACAACATGAGACAAAACAGGACAAACAACATGAGACAAAACAAGATATACAACATGAGACAAAACAGAACATACATCATGAGACAAAACAGGACATAAAACATGAGACAAAACAGAACATACAACATGAGACAAAACAGGATATACAACATGAGACGAAACAGAACAGACAACATGAGACAAAACAGGATATACAACGTGAGACAAAACAAAACAGACAACATGAGACAAAACAGGACATGCAACATGAGACAAAACAGAAAAGACAACATGAGACAAAACAGGATATAATACATGAAACAAAACAGGACAGACAACATGAGACAAAACAGGATATAATACATGAAACAAAACAGGACAGACAACATGTGACGAAACACAACAGACAACATTAGACAAAACAGAACATACAACATGAGACAAAACAGAACATACAACATGAGACAAAACAGGACAAACAACATGAGACAACACAGGCAGGATATACAACATGAGACAAAACAGGATATACAACATGAGACAAAACAGAACAGACAACATGAGACAAAACAGGATATAATACATGAAACAAAACAGGACAGACAACATGTGACGAAACAGAACAGACAACATTAGACAAAACAGGACATAGCACATGAGACAGACAACATGAAACAAAAGAGAACAGTTAAAATGAGACAAAACAGAAAGACAAAACAGGACAAACAACATTAGTAAAAACAGCACAGAATAGACAATAGAGACTTAACAGAACAGGACATTCACTATATAACAGGATAGGACAGGACAGACAACATGAGGCTGAACAGAACATTAAACATGAAACAAAATAGAACAAACAACATTAAACAGAACAGACAAAGTAAGACAAAACAGAACAGGATAGACAGCATGAGACAAAATAGAACAGAACATACAACATGATACACAAGAGACAAAACAGAAAAGAACCCGACAAAATAACATGACACCTAACAACTTAGCATATGGAACAATACATACACCAATTGACTAATAAATTTAACAACAGAACAGAACTTATATAAGATAAAAAAAAGAAACAGGACAAACAACATCAGAGCATACAGAACAAGACATTATAATCACAGTACATAACAAAAGAGGACATGTGACAGCACAAAGGTCATGAAACATGTAAAACATTATATGAAACGAAACAGCACATAACATAAAACATGAGAAAAACATAACATAGCAATCAATCATGAACTTGAACATAACATATCATAACATATTAGTTATAACATTCCTTTCTTTCTCTAAACCCGAATTATGCCGTTTGTCAAATTCGCTATACATGCTATTCGAGAATTGTTTAAGTGTAAATTGTGTAAATCCTTTGACTGTTTCTGTTTATTCTAACGGCAATCGTAGGCTTATTTTAAATATGTTGATATCAAAATTGCTCTTGAATTTTGTAAAGAAGGTCTGTGGATGCTAACGTTTCATTTTCATTCCGCTTATCATTTTATTGAGAATTTCCTACCACGTATTACATTTTTGTTTATTTTCCTGAACTGAATTGCAAGGCAAAGCGGTCCCGGGCTTTGGCTTGTCCGGCTATAGACAACACGTCTATATTTAAAAGGAAATCAATAATTATAAAAAAAAATATAAAAATAAGTATACAAAGTTCTTTACCTATCAGAGAAACTTTCAGTATCATTTCATGTTGCTCGCTGTAATACAATGAAACTGTGGGGTATTGTGAAAAATGACTACAGTTATAATATCTTCCCTCATATATATTTAAGTTGTTAAGTTAACCTGGAAATGAAGGTGATTATTATTTACCTTTGACATTACATTTGTTCTTTATAAATGTTTGTACTTTAAGTAAAAGAACTGTGGTATAGTCGGCATCCAAAGTCGCTGACAACAAATTAAACAGTTTGCATTGTATATGTTCGTTTCTTTTCTACATCTTATTTTGTAACTTTGCAAACAGTTTGCAATGATTTAGGGGGAGTTAACTTATCTACGTTATGGAAACAATTGTAGCAATATTAACTTTTTTTTTTTAATATTTTTTTTGGTGATTTTATATTTTTAATTATTTCAAGTATGGCTTTAATTCTTGAAGACTGATATCATATTTAAGTGTATTGAAGTATATCGAATAAGTTAAATCTCGCGAATACTAGTACATCTATTGTTTATCGCAGGCTATTACATGTACTTAGGTCGGTAAACTTTATGTTAACATATTAACTTTATTCCGTATAATGCTAAAGTTTAAAAATGCAAAATAAACACATGTTTATTAAAATGGATTGGTCTATAAAAACGTATTTCAGAAATTAATAGAAATTTAACAGTTTAAGAGTATTCATGTCAAACAGTTTTCGGAAAAAAAAAGATATTTAGTATGGATTATATATCATGAACAATAATATTTTGTTTTGGAATAAATAGCTATCTCCTATATACAGATATGTTATATTGGACCATTTATCTTACACCTACCAAGAACATTCATAATACATGCATAATGCGTTCATGATTTGTTTTTATGTATCATGATTATTTATGGTATTACAGATTTTCCTTGAAAATATTGGACCAATCATTTTCAGTTCTATATTTTCTGCGCTGTTTTTCATATATGCCTTTTGAAAAATGACAAAAAGCTTTGATAGACACGTCTTATTATTTCTCTATGAACTAATTCAAACACATATCTATTCAGCATCTCTTTTCTCCAGCGCTTTGTAATAAATATATGTGAATTTTGCCAGGAAATAAAGACAACAGTATTCTTTTCAAACAATCATAGAAAGACTTAAGCTTTTAAAACATTCACATTTAACCGACAACAGTAGAACAAAACTACTATTTAGTATTCAAGCAAGAACAGAAACAATCTCAATTTATTTCAACTGTTTATTCAGTAGACAAGATTTTAACAATATTCGTATCAAAATAAATTATTCTAATTTAATCTGTATTAAAATGAAATTAAGAAATTTTCCATTATATCAAACGAAACGTCATTGACAACAATAAGTAGTGTTATATCCTGTTTTTCTTTTCTTTGTTAAGGAATTTCTTAATTAAATATTCTTGAATGAAAAAAAGTGTTTGTACGCAATCACATGGCGTTCGTCGGAAATAGTATCTTGTCTACAATGCTTGGTTCATTTAAAGCTGTTCACAGTGTATAAAAACTGGTAAAACTAGTAGATACCGAAACACTGTTTATTTTATGTCAATGAAATATGAGTTGTATCATTTTTTATGCATTAACGGATATTAAAAAAATCTGAGGCGTTAAGATTGGTGTTTATATACATTACTTGTCTTGGCATTTAAATTCATTAGGATTCTCATGAAATTTCAATTATTTTTCTAATTGCGCTACGTCTGTCTTTGAATATGACATCCGACACTATTTTCACCGAGTAATAGCCCATTTTGCTTAAATAGATTAAAACACCAATTTGGCGTACCATAAATACAATGTCTCAAAATCTACAAGCAAAATGATTTCATACATACAATCATATTCTTTCATTCAAGAATTAAACAGTTGACTATGGTAAATTGTAAATCTCTTAACACAAAAACATAAAACAAAAGCGAAAAGGCAATATTAAAGGAAATAGATACAGATACTGAATAAAATCCGAAAAAACTTATTATGACTCTGTAGAATACAGTACAGGTAGTTCCCTTTCTTTACTCATGTGTATGCACCTTTCTATTTAAATAAATCAAAGTTTTCATTAAATGTCAATTCTATTTTGATTTGATAAAAGGTAGTATATAAAAATGTGAAGAAGAAGGAATAAATAAAATGTCCATCACACACACAAAGAAGAATTTAGGCTTTCCTTTTGCGTCCAAATCTGAAATAGATGATTACAATTTTTTTTAACTCGTTGTATTTAATTCAATCATAAAATACCAATTCAAATCAGTCATTGATTAATTTTGAAGGGTTTTCAGCTATATATTGTAAAACTTTTAAACAGTAAAATAATGTTGTTTTCATATTAACTTTATAAGTGATTATTAGAAGAGACGTTACAAAGACGGTCATGCTTATTTAGCAAACATGCTTATTGTACGTAAACTGGCTGATCTTTTAAGTAGGTTTTTAAACCATTTAGCAATGGTCCTTGCATGTACTATTCCTTCTGAAGGAAATATACAAAACATAATTTTATTCATTTCATACAGTTGTTTTGTAAGTATGTTCTTTTTTAAAACCAAACAAAATGTAATAAAGCACAGGCAGCAGACATATATCTTTATAAACTTTCTGTTTTACGTGTGACCTGTTTTTAAAAATAACGAAGAACATATAATAAACAAACTGATTTGAAAAAAATACTTAAACTTAAAATTAGTTTCAGTTTACAAATCAGGTATTCGAAGTGTAGAATGTTTTGATTACCAGAATTGCTGTATAAGTGTTGCCAAAACACAAAGAAGAACCGTAAGAGCCCCTAACTGTATGACTGCAGCTGAAACGAAATATGTACAAGTTACTCTTTACCTAAAATAAATTTGTATTAACTTCGTTGAAATGTATAAATTGCACATGAATGTTAAATAATAAATTATTATCTAATTGATATACAAAATTATTATGTTCTGTGATGTATGCTTACACGTTATCTCTTGCACCTTTAATGTCTTATTTATAGTTAATTGTAACAAACCAAATGATTTTGTTTGGTTCAAATGTTTACTTGTGATACAGTAAGAAAGAAACGAAGATTGTATAATTGCTACGGGGATGAAGCAGTTGATGTCATGTACACCACCACGTACTTTTGAGAAAGGTACAAAGTATTATTGTTACAAGTACACCTCTACCTTTCCTGTACACAAAGCAAATATAATGGACCTACGTATTCGACCCCGGGTCGCAAACTTTAAAATGTTCACGTGTCATTGTTGAAATTATAGGCAATGTTGTTACTATATATAGTAACAAGTGTAATAATAAATGAATATCGTTGTGATTTATCATGAAATTCTTTCTACGGTCATTCGCACTGTACCTCTGCTCTGGCATGTACAGAAGTTACAGTTCCTTGTGAAAGTGATGGCAACTAGTACTGATTGCCTGCACAGGTATTCAACAGGTGGTTGAACTGTGCTCTGGTGAATTCAATGTGGCTAACTGTCGTGATCCGGAGTGAAAACTACCAATAACAACACAAACACAATAGATGAATATCAATGAATTACTGTCATCATTGTTAAAAATAATAACCTTAAGAACATATTTCTCCTCCAATAATAAATAAATAAGATAAATGGATATGATATTATTTACGTTTTTCATTTACCTGCATTTTCTGCGGTACATACATCAACATTCATGACATAACCAGCGTCACATTCACATTTGCCATTGTCACAATGAGAGTTATCGATATCGCCACATTCATCTCCGTTTTCTGAGCATGTTGTATCACTAACAGCTTTTTATTATAGGAAAAATATACATTTCTATCAATTATATGTATTTATTTGTAAAGATCACTTTTTCTTAAACATCTTTAGAGTCATTATAACATTGTCATGAAATATTGTACTCCGAACAGCAATAATTATATTTTATGAATATCAGCATTTTAAAAATGAAAGGTTTATTCGTCTTCTTCGTTACACATGCTTTCAACACAAATCCTGTATTTTTAATTGTTTATTTCTTATCATGTACCATAATTTCCCAAAATCATTTGACATAACATAGAGAAAATAGGAACCCCAAAAGAAAGTCCAAAACGGCAAAATTGAAAATGTTGCAAGCTCGGTTTGACTGAGCCTGTTCTTGGACTGTACTGTCAAGTGCAAACTACCGTCCACGCCCCTTAGCTCCGGCTTAAGCAGAATTCAACATTTAAACATGAAATGGCAAAATTTTTAATTTGGAAACATCCGCAGATGTGATCATACGGCGGTTATCATGGAACCTTCAACTTGACACGGTAGTATCATTCCATTAAAAGCGGCGTGTGGTCAGTGCTTCTCTAGGGTGCCCGTTCGTGTCTGAATAAATGAGATCTTCCTCAACCAGTTAAGGTGGAAAACTCCGCCATATGACCTTTTATCTGTTGTTTTGCATTAAAACCCTATAAAAATTACACCCTGCATTCTGAGAAAGAGGAATCATACTTGCGAAAATATCATAGGTTTACGATTATAATGCAATTTTTTCATACATTAACATTTTATACATTCAAACACTAACACGTTAGATTAAAAAATGACAAAGATTAATCATTAACTACGGTGGCACAGGGACAAATTGTGTACGTCTTTTATCTCGTTTCTCACTGGATAATATCTTGCTTTGATGTGACAGCAAAATAAATAAAGTACTTCACATGTCGCCTGTAAGAATTCGTAACGGTCGCACAGGTATGCTATGTTTACTTTGTTGTTTATTTTGCCTGGACAAGCTAATATCACATGGGAACGAGATAATTATGTTTGAGAAGGCAAAATAAATTCATAAAAATGATATAAATAAAATAAATTAAAAAGGCAGGGACCAGAATAAAAGCATTAATTTTGTTTTCAAAACAAACAAGTGTTTTTTTCTAGTGTAGCAATGATTTTGCTTATGTACCATCTGTTTGTAAAGCCACATTTCTATTTCAATTGTAGTAATTAAGTGCGATATAACATTTTTTTTATTTTTCCTATTTGAGACAACGGAACCCATCCCCAAACCGTTTACTTAAAGGATTACAGGCCTTTATGGGCACCAACAGGAATAATATTTCAATTATTTTTATATTATTCTTGTAGTATGAGACACTTATTCTTCAAAATTTAGCAATTTTACCATCTTTGTTCCAGTATCATATACCCCTTAATGTATTTTGCCAAAACATTAAAACCCATGTCAGATTTAGAGGAATTAAGCTCTTTTTTATAGAACATTGATGTTTTTCGTTTTCATTGTTGATCTATTCTGTTAACAAAGTGACTAAAAAACCCATTATACCTTAAGAATACTTTTATTTTTATTTCTCGAATGCTTTTATAATTTAAACAAAATCCCATTAGCCAATTACTTGAACCATTTTTTTCATCTTTTAATTTTTGTAATAATTACAGTTATAGTGAGTATGTATTTTGTATGGAAATCAAAATACTACAGTAACTTTGTTATCTTTTTGCTACTTTTATGACAAATTATTTTATTAATTATTACTAATTTATCGCTACTTTTTCCAATAAACAAGCATCTAACATTCTCTTAAACCATTATGTTAACATTATAAAAATCATGTTTGCCATAATAAAGAAGTACAAAAGTATTTTGTTGATTATGCATATTGTGCCTTTCAAGTAACACGTGATCTTTGTTTTTAAAATATATATTTGTTCATCTCAGATAAATGCATTCTTTCCTTTCACTAACATACGAATGGTACATTTCGTCCAGCGACTTTGTTTTCTATTTTGAAGGTATATTGTCAATGGAATTCAAATGTTAACTATTTTGTTCTTACAAACACCATGTTTATTCGTTTGTGTTTCGTCAAAAATATTGTATTTTGATATTTGATCAGGAAAAAGTAAAAGGTAAACAAAATTCATATAAATTTTGAATATCCATTAGAGTTTGTAATCTTTCATTCTTTTATTTCAAAACACCAATCCAATTAGTAATACCTTTCGCACAAGAGCTGCCATCAGTAGAATCTTCTTTATAACCATCTGAACATTTGCATTTTGTAGTTCCACTGTCACATTCAGCATTATCTATGTCTGTGCATGCTCCATTTGTGCAATCTGTTTCCGATACTTTTCCTAAACAAACATAATTTTAAGTAAGTAGAGCTTATTACTTTCTTGACAGGTAAACGTAAACATCAAATTATGAAATGCTCTTGTGAATATTTGTTATGAATTGTATAAAATTGAACAAATTCATCATACTTTTGACACATGTATCGCCTTCCTCTCTATAACCATCAGAACACTTGCATTTTGTAGTTCCACCGTCACATTCAGCGTGATCAATGTCTTTGCAATCATCGTTAGTTGAACAATCTTTATCTGACACAACTCCTAGAAATAAACATGATATTACCCTTGAATGATATCATGAATGTTTTGCTTTTCGCTTTTGAAATTTAAATGATTTGTTTGTTAATGAAATTGGGCATTATTATATATTTCAATATAATAGTTCCAATTATTAGATACCAAATCCTGTACAGCAATAATTAACAAAGTATTCAGTAAATACTTGATTTTATCATCACTTTTATAATAATAATAATAATAATAATAATAATAATAATAATAATAATAATTTGACGACCGACTTTAATTATGTACTGATATATAAATGAGCAGCTTCAATGTCGTTTGATTTACCTGCAGCAGACGATACTAAATACATTGTTAACACAGCGAAGAAGAGATTCCTAATTTTCAGCCCCTTAAATCATGTAAATTGATAACATTTCAAAAACATTTATAATTTTAAACATTGACAGAAAAAGATCGACTTATAAATCTTAAAGGCCCATTATGCTCCAAATATTTTTTTAATCCTCATTTGTTTTTCTTCAGTTTTTGTGCCCTCTAATAGTTAAATAGTTTTCATAACAAATTATCTGGACTTTTTATGCCTTTGTTGGCTTGATGTAGTATTTAATATGGAAGTAAAACTACTACTTGACAAATAGATCTGCATTCAAAATCATTTCGTCACGCTGCACATTAGAATTTAAGGTATGATCCCTCAGAATGCATTGATTGTGATTTGCCAACAATTTTAATTTGAAAATGTTTACTTATAATAGAAAATATATTACTGGCTAAAAATATAAAAAAGACTGAGGCATAATGTGCCTTTAAAACAAAGAAGAAATACATGCTATGCATGATCCAAGGCGTTGTTAGATTGATTCACAATGATCTGAATAAATAATAGTTTATTTATACAAGAAACTATTCAATTTACATTTAACGTTTAAAGATATTCTTTTAACATTTACAATGAGCTATTATACATTGTTATGGAATACGTTTATAAGTCTAAAATATTATTTACATGTATCCTAAATTGACAATTTTTTATCATCCTCATTTATCAAAACTTATGTTCTCATAAAATGATTCGTATATGTCAGGTTATTTAATTTACTATTTAAAACTAATGTAAATAAACCTGACCTTGTTCAGCATTTTCTAAAAAAGACATGGAATGTAATATGAAGATATTTTACGCAATTTCAGACAGTGACGCACCATATCAAACTGTGATCGATGGAACAATGAATTGTATCAAATTCGAGCCATACGAATTACAGACATATATACAGTTTCATTTTAAGTATATCACATTAAAATTTAAATGTATTTATATTTTACGCAATGAGAATTTACCAACAAAAAAGGTTTGTATCTCTTCTGCTGATACAAAATTTAGTTTATCTTTGAATTTGATGAATTTTGTTTGCTGTGAGTAAAATATACACACTGTCTTAAACTGTGTATAATATCTTAATATAATATCATATTAAAATGTAAAGAGATTTAAAAATGTACTCTCATATATTTCTAAAAATGTGTATGAAAATAGAATTTTGACAACAACAAACCATCCACAGAAAGAAAAAAAAATATTGCACAAGTAATATACAGAAAATAAAAATCTAGCTCTGAATAAAAAAATGAAAAAAAAAAGAATAACCATAAAGTAATTATAAGTCACAAAAAGGTAATGAATATTACTTACCATGATTATATCCCCACCGCTTCTAGACTGATATGACAAATGAGCGCGGCTGCCCATATTTATGCTCTGTGTCATCTAGGGCTGTGCAAATTGGTCACATGACCAATGTTGTAAATAACCATATAATGCTTTACAGGTTTTAACTAGTTTATTTTTGCAAACATCTGCATTTTAAAGGGTTATTTACATTACCCAAACTGAACAGTAATACATGTTCTTTTTTAAATGTTTTTGTTTATTGTTTAAGCAGAGGGAAGGTATTATACCATTTGAGATCCCTGACATGTGCTCTTTTGTTAACAAAAAACAATGTTGTGGTGAAATTCGTATTGTATTCACTTATATGAAAAATTAGCATTAGACGGGTCAGGGATGTTTGTTACTACATGCTTAAAATAATGTATGGTAGCAGTAAAACAAAATGTTTTACGTGACAGAGATAGCTGTTAAAAAACAACCACATCTTAAGGATTCGAATGAAGTGAAAGGAGGAAGCAAGTATTTCCAAATTGTCAAATTCATGATTTTCATAACATTCTATTAGACCAAGAAAGTAAAATAGTATAGATACATACACATTTTTCAAGCGGTTATCGTGTATCTAACAAATAAAGTTTCTTTAAGACAGGAGCACAACATACAGTGTTTACGCTTGTCTGTTAAGAGCAACAATAGATGCAAATTAAAACCATTATTGTTATAGTATTATATCATTTATGCACCTAACTTCTCAATAAGATTGATAACAGTGTGAATGTTCAAGATATTGGTATTTATTAAAATAAAAAATATATGACTGTTTTCCATGTGAAATAATGGGCTTAACTCTGTGATTACTGATCACGTAGTTATAACATTTGTACTTAAGCTGTGTCTTGCTCCCATTAACAAGAATGTTTATAATAAGTAAAATATCTTCGACAGCTTTTAACGTTATTTTGTATCAACATCTACTTTCTAGAACGTAACTTAAAGATCAAGCTTTCAGAACAACGTCCCTTGTTGTACATCTATTCCTTGTCATGACAAGTTTTATGTTGATATTTTTTATTATGTTTTTCAGTTATGGACTACATTAAAATCTTGCACGACAATAACAGTTATGATGTCGACGCAGCGATCATATTAAGGAGTATACTCCTCATAACAAGTAAAAAGAAAGCTTAATATATTATTTGTGTTTTGATCATCTTATACGTGAAGATCCTCTTTTAATAACCGTGTTTGCTCGAATCAGCCATGTATGACACTATTGTGTTATTTTAACAACCCGGCCTGTATTTAAATTGAGCACCTTTCTTTTATTTTGCTTGAGATCCGAAACTATTTAAATGGGAACTTTGAAAACTGTCCATTTAGTTTCATTGAACCTGTCCGTTACCGGGAATGGTAACACCATCTTATATGACAAATGGCGATGAATTGTGTTTCAACAATTGTAGGCAAGATGATTCAAGCAGGGATTGAGAATCACTTTCAAGTAGTGTGAACGTTTCTTAAATACCCTTGTTTATTTTACACCTTATCTAGAGTTTTGAGTAATTTATATTTCTTTTTTATTAAAACAACAAATGATAAGTATTATTTTTCATGATTGCTATCACATTTGTTTCAAAATTATATTGTTGTCCATGAATTTCTATCTCAAATATAAAATAGTTGCGACAATAAACCAAACTAATAAATTCTATAGACATATTGCTCGAAAAACCAAAAACAACAACAACAAAAAAAAATATTAAATAAAAATAAAATAAATTAAATAAATTTATAAAGAAAGAAATAAAAGTAAAATTAAAAAAAAAATGAACCGTTGTACTTTGTTTAATCCAAGTTGTCTTTAAGGCACTACTTTAAAACATTTACTTATAAAAGTGGTTTGAACTAGGGAACGAATGTAACTTAACCAAAACGTGTCTTTTTATTCAGATTGCATAAACATGTAAACATAATAAGTTGAATAAAGAAAACGCATATAAATATAATAAGATGAATAAAGAAAACAGACACAGAAATGTATTCATTAGAGATGATATTTAGTAAAGATATAATTTCGTGTAATTTAAAAAGCCATATATCACAATGCATCAAAACGGAGATGATAATTGTTATAAAGTGTACCTAATATTTGTAGGATTTATGAACTTATTTTTTTTTACATTATTGTCTGAATGCTAGCGGGCGTGTAAAAACAAAGTTTGAAAAGGACCCAAACGTTTTATGATTTCGGAATGGTAGCTCAACTCATGTGGAGTGGGAAACTGTTTTCACCACTTATTTTCCAGATAATTTCTCTCATTCAAAAGGTTATGCTATGTTCATATTTTTGTACACTGGTACATGCATAACATCATTAAATCTATATATATTTTAATTTTTGCTTCGGACAAGTATTTGATAACAAAGGTTTGACCCTTGCCCATCTCCAATCGTGCAAAGAAGCATTGTCCGAATAATAACTATTTAAAGAGGTAAAAATTGATAACCGTTTGGTTTAAACATATTTTATTTCGAACACTTTGCACAAACAACATCATCATACAATAAAGAATAACACAATACAATGCTGAAAAAGGATCAGATTCGAAAGCATAAAATGCTTTAAAGGCCTTTTCCTAACATAGGATTAATTACTATAAATAAGTCGGGTTTTGAAAATGTTTGAAATATTAGTTAAGAGAAAACAATTATTAACACTAGCAGATTGAAGAAAGATGAAAATGAAAAAAAGCAAGTTAACGACCTATGAATAAAAAAATAACACATAGTAGGTGTTTTATCTGAAAGGAGTAGAAATAGGGACTTAATTGATATAATGCAATAATTGTCGCGTTAATAAATTTATTCAGTTTTAAACTTTTATAACTTGAGATAGAAAAAACATAACGTAATAAATATTGGAAAAGGGGAAGATCTTTTTCGAAAAGAAAACGGGAAAACCCGTAGTTTGATAGACTATAAAATCTTTTGCTATCTCGGAATTATTAATTGCCTAAATATATGATGTTGTTTGTCGTCACTTAATTTTGTTTTCGCCGTTAATTTAGTGTTGTAATTATTTTAAGAAATTTAAAAAGTTTTAGAAATGGCTGCCTCTGATAGTAATGTATCGTTTGCATTCAAAGAAAAATGATGATTAGTTTCTGGCAGTCCACATTGGTATAGATGTGTGTCTACAATATTTTTTCTGAAGATACCCGCTTGAAACCCATCTATTTAAGAAATAATATCGGTCTAAGCGGTGTTTACAGGCTATTTAACACCGGTTTGGAGTTTTGATGCGTATGAATTGACCACGAAGGCCGTAGTCCCGGGGGGGGGGGGGTAATTTTTTCGCATCAAAACGACAAAACAGGTGTAAGACAGCCTATAAACACCGCTCAGACCGATATTATTTCGATTCTAACACGATTAAATTATTAAGAGCACTAATGATATTTTTTATTATAAGCGTAAATATCTTTTGGTGCCGGTTTTTGTATAACACTGTTCGATTTTCGCACCTTACTGTTGCTAAGATATAGAAATTATTAAACAGAAGAAATAATAAGAAAACACGTGTTTTTATCAAGTTTTCAACAATAAAAACCTACGTCTTAGAATGTTTAACAGCAGTGCCCCATATATCATTCTTGAATGTATGAAATGACATCAGC